AAGCCAAACCACGTGAAAATCGGTTGAGTTTTGACCGCGCTATGAGGATGGGAAGTTTTGACCCATGTCATGTGAGATATTTAGGGGTACAATTTTAACATGAATTTCGATGAAAAATTTCGTTGCCAGATTTAAATGCCAAATTGTTTTAAATGCCAAACAATGGGTAAAAAAACAAACCACGTGAAAATCGGTTGAGTTTTGACCGAGTTATGAGGCTGGGAAATTTTGACCCATGTCATGTGAGATATTTAGGGGTACAATTTTGACATGAATTTCGATGAAAAATTACGTTGCCAGATTTAAATGCCATATTGTTTTAAATGCCAAACGATGGGCAAAAAAACAAACCACGTGAAAATCGGCTGAGTTTTGACCGAGTTATGAGGCTGGGAAGTTTTGACACATGTCATATGAGATATTTTGGGGTACAATTTTAACATGAATTTCGATGAAAAATTACGTTGCCAGATTTAAATGCCATATTGTTTTAAATGCCAAACGATGGGTAAAAAGCCAAACCAGGTGAAAATCGGCTGAGTTTTGACCGAGTTATGAGGCTGGGAAGTTTTGACCCATGTCATGTGAGACATTTAGGGGACAATTTTGACATGAATTTCGATGAAAAATTACGTTGCCAGATTTAAATGCCATATTGTTTTAAATGCCAAACGATGGGTAAAAAACCAAACCAGGTGAAAATCGGCTGAGTTTTGACCGAGTTATGAGGCTGGGAAGTTTTGACCCATGTCATGTGAGACATTTAGGGGTACAATTTTGACATGAATTTCGATGAAAAATTACGTTGCCAGATTTAAATGCCATATTGTTTTAAATGCCAAACGATGGGTAAAAAAACAAACCACGTGAAAATCGGCTGAGTTTTGACCGAGTTATGAGGCTGGGAAGTTTTGACACATGTCATATGAGATATTTTGGGGTACAATTTTGATATGAATTTCGATGAAAAATTACGTTGCCAGATTTAAATGCCATATTGTTTTAAATGCCAAACGATGGGTAAAAAGCCAAACCAGGTGAAAATCGGCTGAGTTTTGACCGAGTTATGAGGCTGGGAAGTTTTGACCCATGTCATGTGAGACATTTAGGGGTACAATTTTGACATGAATTTCGATGAAAAATTACGTTGCCAGATTTAAATGCCATATTGTTTTAAATGCCAAATGATGGGTAAAAAGCCAAACCACGTGAAAATCGGTTGAGTTTTGCCCGAGCTATGAGGATGGGAAGTTTTGACCCATGTCATGTGAGATATTTAGGGGTACAATTTTAACATGAATTTCGATGAAAAATTACGTTGCCAGATTTAAATGCCAAATTGTTTTAAATGCCAAACGATGGGTAAAAAACCAAACCACGTGAAAATCGGTTGAGTTTTGACCGAGTTATGAGGCTGGGAAATTTTGACCCATGTCATGTGAGATATTTAGGGGTACAATTTTGTCATGAATTTCGATGAAAAATTACGTTGCCAGATTTAAATGCCAAATTGTTTTAAATGCCAAATGATGGTTAAAAAGCCAAACCACGTGAAAATCGGTTGAGTTTTGACCGAGTTATAAGGCTGGGAAATTTTGACCCATGTCATGTGAGATATTTAGGGGTACAATTTTGACATGAATTTCGATGAAAATTTACGTTGCCAGATTTAAATGCCAAATTATTTTAAATGCCAAATGATGGGTAAAAAGCCAAACCACGTGAAAATCGGTTGAGTTTTGACCGAGCTATGAGGATGGGAAGTTTTGACTCATGTCATGTGAGATATTTAGGGGTACAATTTTAACATGAATTTCGATGAAAAATTACGTTGCCAGATTTAAATGCCAAATTATTTTAAATGCCAAACGATGGGTAAAAAACCAAACCACGTGAAAATCGGTTGAGTTTTGACCGAGTTATGAGGCTGGGAAGTTTTGACCCATGTCATGTGAGATATTTAGGGGTACAATTTTGACATGAATTGCGATAAAAAATTACGTTGCCAGATTTAAATGCCATATTGTTTTAAATGCCAAATGATGGGTAAAAAGCCAAACCACGTGAAAATCGGTTGAGTTTTGACCGCGCTATGAGGATGGGAAGTTTTGACCCATGTCATGTGAGATATTTAGGGGTACAATTTTAACATGAATTTCGATGAAAAATTTCGTTGCCAGATTTAAATGCCAAATTGTTTTAAATGCCAAACAATGGGTAAAAAAACAAACCACGTGAAAATCGGTTGAGTTTTGACCGAGTTATGAGGCTGGGAAATTTTGACCCATGTCATGTGAGATATTTAGGGGTACAATTTTGACATGAATTTCGATGAAAAATTACGTTGCCAGATTTAAATGCCAAGTTGTTTTAAGTGCCAAACGATGGGTAAATAACCAAACCAGGTGAAAATCGGCTGAGTTTTGACCGAGCTATGAGGCTGGGAAATTTTGACCCATGTCATATGAGATATTTAGGGGTACAATTTTAACATGACTTTCGATAAAAAATTACGTTGCCAGATTTAAATGCCATATTGTTTTAAATGCCAAATGATGGGTAAAAAGCCAAACCACGTAAAAATCGGTTGAGTTTTGACCGAGCTATGAGGATGGGAAGTTTTGACCCAAGTCATGTGAGATATTTAGGGGTACAATTTTGACATGAATTTCGATTAAAAATTAAGTTTCGAGATTTAAATGCCAAATTATTCGAGGGGTCAAAAAAAGGTTTACCTTAATTAAATGCCAACTTGATTTGGCACTTAATGTAAGACAATCTGGCATCAAAAGGTCTTTGATCTCGTCCCGAACTGAAACTGGAGCTGCGGCCAGGATTCAATCGGGAATCGGCAATTAGTATTTGCGGTCGCCAATTGAGGTGATTAATTATGCAATAAGGGTTACGCGGTCGTCCTGGGACACGACCCCGGAGCTCATTGAACTTTGCAATTGCCACAAAAAAAAGACAGTTGAATTAAAGTTGTAATTGAAGTCAGGTGAACGATTTTAAATTGCCATAAAAATATTAAGATTAAACAAAATAAATACAATTACAAATAGGCATATCAGCTAGAACTATTCGAATAGATGTATGGCTATTACGTATATAAGTATATGTACAGAACGATTAATTTCAAATCAACTATAATTAATGAGGCTGTCAACCCGCTTGACTCAATAGGCCTGTCGATGCTTGTCCTTGTTGCTGGGCTTCTTCGAGGAGATGAGTGTGCGGCGTTTCAAACGCTTCAGCTTTGTCTTCTCACGCTTGCGCATCTTCTCCTGGGCCACCTGGACAATGGTGTCGCGGAGCTTTAGTCTGTATTTCATGAGATTGTTCAGTTCATTGCCCAGTCCCTGCTGCTCCATGGGCTCCATATTCTCATCGTTGGCATCCTCCTCGTCGTCCGTTAACAGGGCCAATTGGCTTTCGGCCCAGGCTGCATCATCGTCCAGCAGGGCGTGTGGGCGCGGCAGCTGCGACTCCTGCTGCTTGAGCAGCTCCTCGGTGAGCAGCAGCTTCGAGGTGGCCCACTTTACCACATGATGGTCCTTCAGTGCCATTTGCTGGCGATAATGAAACAAATGCAACGTCACATTTGCCTTGGGATATGACTCCTCCTCCCCTTCCTCCTGTTCCGTCGCTGATGTATCTTCAGCTGGGCTGCTGCTGCTCACGGCTGGCATGGGTTGGACCACTGCCACTGGCCTATCGCAGGATACATTCGCTTCCAGTACATTGCCCATCTTGGTGCCTTACCAGCTCAATTATCACTGACAGCTGCAGCCAATCTGCGCCTCGAATATATATACGATATAGGCTATATGCTGGACAAAATAGATTATAAACTTTGGTGGGTCGAGCAGGTAGTTATCGGTTACCTACTTTGGGAACACCTGGTGCCGGATTAGAGAACGTTTTCAAAAACCCCTAAGTATCTGAAATAACAATAATAAATATTTCAGGCTTCTTATAGTCTAGGGTTGCCGCAGAGCTAATAAGTAAGTTTTCCCTTTTGACTTCTCGGTTTCGGCAATTTCTCAGAAGACGTGAATTCGTTGCGCTATTTTTATGATATTTAACTAGAAATTCAAATATATGTATGTTTGCCACAAAGCTCTAGAGTACTACATATTAGCAACTTTTCACATAGATTTATTCACACGCCTGCTGAGTCCATAAATTTTTGACTTGTTGATTTTTAAGAACATTTCTTAAAGCGCATATTTAAAATATTCACTTTGGTTCGTATTTAACCTAAAAGTGAGGTTAGATACATTTCTGCACTTTAAGTTAAGCTAACAATCCCATTAAAATGTTATCAAAAATGTAAGCATCTAAGCAGTCAAACTGATTTCGCTTAAATTTTGCACAACTTTCACGTTTACAAACATTACTGCATCTACAATGTTCGTATCTAACCTAAAAGTTGGGAAAAGCCCACGTGTGTAATTTAAACATATATATAACATTTTTATTAAATTATATCTAATGTCAAGAGCTTAGGCTACTTAAAACTGTAGCCAGGCCATAAACTCTTACAAGCGTTTATTAATCTAACCTCAAAAGGTTGTGTCTAACCTGCAAGATAGAAAAAGGGCAGGTGCACTTTTAAAATATCTAATTCATACAAATTTACAAAAGCCTCAAGAAATTGGTCAAGTTAATATTTAATAATAACTTAAAAAATGCGCAAGTGTGAAATTATATGTGTAATGCGCACACTAATAATTTCGTCAAGTACTTGAGAGAATATTTAAGTTGATTTTGAGCAAATTCTATGCTAATCTCAAATGCATATTCAAAATGTCGTTACCTAACCTCAAAAGCACGTACCTAACCTACAAGTTGGGTCCAGCGCACGTGTGGCGATTCCATACTGTACTGTTGAAATGTTCACAATTTCGTCAAGGATTTGAGCAAGTGAATTGTACAGTTGATTTCGAACATAGTATTCGACCGAAATATTTGATGCTTATTACAAATCGTGTACCTAACCTCAATTGTTTGTTACCTAACCAAGCAAGTCGGGACATGCACACGTGTGCATCAAGTTGGCAGGTCAATTGACATTGAGCTGCGGCAATCCTACCTGTGCGTGGATATATGGTATATCCAGGGATATAAAAGCCGGCTAACATGTCGCCAAATGCAGCACTCGTTTCTGAACGCCCGTTGGCCATGGACCAGAAGACAACGCAGCTGTTGATGTTCCGCGCACCGTTGGACGCACAGAGTAAACTGTTTATATTCAATTCGCCCATCGACTATTCGGATCAGCAGCTGGTTGTGTATCAATATTCCGGCATGTTGGACGGCGACAGTGGCTATTGTGTGGTCTATAAGAGGGATCATTTTATCATCAACAATCCGCCCAATTATCAGAGTCCCACCAAGCGCAGCTTTCTCAACGAGTGCATCCGTCAGCTGTATATCATCAATGGACTGGCCCACAAGCTGCACTGGGCGCCCAACACATCGCTGGCCAGCCGCCAGGAGCTGTGGCAGCAGGTGGATCTTTGCCTGCAGCCGGAGCGTCTCAGTGCGCAAAGCGCCAGCCTGCAGCGGGTCAAGCGGCAGCTGTTCCGGGAGACGCGACGTCGCCGCAAATGCACGCCCAGTGTGCGCGGCCAGGTCTGGGGCACACAGGTGTTATACTTTAAGCCGATGCGCTCGAAGCTTGGCCGGCGGAACATACGTCGCGGCTACATGACAGTGGCCAGACACATTGTGCTCCAGCAAATGATACGTGAGAATCTGAAGCGTGAGATGATCCACACGCCCGCGGTATGCCAGAGCGTCATCAACGCCGCCGAGGGCATATTCAATATGAACGCCGGTGTCATCGGTGAGATATGCAGCTATCATCGGAGCGCTGCACGCCATCAGCCCGCCGTGAATTGTCACCTGAGCGACGCTGAGCTGCGTCTGCGCAACAACGAGGCCTGCCAGCTGACGCAGCGTGCCAAGCGTTTAGAGGCGATGTTTCTGCACGAACAGGTGCGTCGCGCCGTACAGAATCATCAGCTCATATTGGAGGAGTCCGTGCGTTCCATATACTATGCCAAGCAGCTGTTTCGTCTGATTGAGGATCACGAGGAGTTCGTCTACACGGACAAGCAGATAATGGGGCGTGGCTGTTGTTAGATCAGTCTCCCACTCTCATCCTCTCTTTTTATATATGTAAAAATATATTTGTAAGCATTAACATAAGTAGTTTGTATAAAAATTAAAATGCATAACACTTTACAAAATTAATTGTTATTATTGTTCCTGGTCGATTCCAAATCGATCGAGGCACGCCAATTCTAGGATTTCGCTGTCTTTTGCTCCTCTATCAGCTGGGAATGTACACCCATAAGGCTCTGCAAGAAGAAACGTGTTTTTTTCTGATTAATTATACTTTATACAATCGATTTATATTCCAAACTGCGGCCTATCCTTTGTTTTTCTCTTAGGTTTCTATCGATTCTAATCATAAATTTGGCAAGATTTCTAAGCTATCATCTTTTAACAAATTGAATCTTAAATTATTCTCTGGAATTCTTAAAAGCATATAAGGTTTTTTGATAAATTACAAAGCAACAAAGTATCTAAGCATCTAGAGTAATAAGCATTATTTATTTTATAGAAAGCGAATCCCACAAAGCTAATCAGGAATCTAACCGGCTAACAGTTTACCATATGTCTTCTTTAAAAAGTTACCCATTTCTTTATAGTTTCTGCAAGGGCATAAGCATGTCCTGGATGCGTTCTTATTTACTTTGTATTTATTCTTCTTATTTATTGCATCCCTTTGTTTAGCTCTTGAAAGTCCTCCCTCACAGTTTCTGAAACATTTCTTGAGTTCCAATATTTTTCATTAGAGTTTCTTTTAAACAGTCTTTAGATTCATTTGCTTGAACAGTCTGAAAATATGCTGTATTACAATTTTAAACAACTTAAGTACTAAAACAAAAAGCTTTGCATTTATTACTGGACTCTGGCCCATTACTAATCCAACGAGCTATAGAGTTCTAGCAAAAATTTCCTTTAAGCTGTCATTAATTATAAAATATTCTCTTAGAAAAAATAGGCCCAACCGTTTTGGTTATACATTACATTCGAAGTTTGTGTAACCCTCCTGGGAGGCATCGGCATTTGTATCTCTTAGTATGCCCTGTGAAATTATGAAAAACATATGGCAGCCAGACATTAGCATCATATATCCTCAGCCATAAGACTAACCAAGTAAACCAAGTTAAGGGAAGCAACAGCAGCTATTGGATTAGTATGCATAATAAGCTTAATCTAACAGAACCAACACCTTGGCAAGCTACGTATATATCCCGTGTGTATCCTAATTATATCCAGCAGCCCAATCGAATGTCAACTAGCTACAATTGCAGTTGCTTTGCGCATACCTGGAAGTATTTAACCGTCTTTACGCGCAGCTCCAGTGTCGCGTCTTCATCGCAGATCATCAAAGTATTTGCATGCTGCTGGAATGCGCTGACAGTCCACATATGATTGACGCCCTCCTCGATGGCCTTATAGAGAGCGAAGGCCTTGTGGGCGCCGGTAATCAGGATCATGACCTCATTTGAATCCATGACGGTGCCGACGCCCACAGTGAGCGCCTGTTTGGGCACTTTATTAATGTCATTATCAAAGAAACGAGCATTCGCCTCCAGCGTATCCTGTGCCAGCGTCTTGACACGTGTGCGCGAGACCAACGATGAGCCGGGCTCATTGAAGGCTATATGGCCATCGGGTCCAATGCCGCCAATGAATAGCTCTACGCCGCCAGCTTCCTTGATCAGCTCCTCAAACTGTTTGCACTCGGCAACCAAATCGGGCGCATTTCCATCCAATATATGCACATTCGCGGGCTCAATATCGATGTGTTTGAAGAAATTGTGCCACATAAAATAGTGATAGCTCTCGGGATGATCACGCGGCAGACCTGCAAAGTGCATGCTTTAGCTCTCTATATAACTTGATAAGCACAAATCCCCGACACTTACCCACATACTCATCCATATTGAAGGTCTTCACGTACCGAAAGGAGACCTTGCCCTGTTTGTAGAACTCAATCAGGGCTCTGTACATGCCCAAAGGTGTGCTACCCGTGGGCAGGCCCAGCACAAAGTATCTGTAGGATTTAAAGAGAGAGATTATATTAAACTTGATCATGTTGATAAGACTCACCTATCGGGTCCCGGCTTGAAATCATTGATCCGCTTGACCACATACTTGGCCGCCCAATTCCCAACCGATTCGCTTGTTTCCAAGATAATCAAACGCATTTTTTCTACTTTTATTATTTAGTACTGAAAATTTGGAGTATAAATTAAGTGTTTGATTTGTTGTATGAATTCTGATTGTGGATAAGATTAGCTGAGGCATGTACATTTTAAGTAGGTGAGATATTTATGAATTTTTGTTGGTAAACTGTTCTTTGACTTATTTTGAGCATCGATACAGTGGGCACTCGAAGCAGTTATTGGTATAATTAATTCGCATTTAATAATATTATTTGTTTCATTTCAATGATATAACGAGTTCTTTGTTGGGGGGCATTTATCTTTTTACGACTCAGTTTTCTCATTCACAAGCACAGATCAGCTTTATTTATCGAACGCCCACTGTATTCACTTTCGTTCTCAATTATGAAGAATGAGTGAGTGAGTTCATGAGTGAGTGAGTGAGAGAGAGAGAAACAGACATTTGCACTTGAATTTCCATGGAGGACACTTGACGGTCGTCAAGCAGCTCACGTCCACTCACCTGAGCAAGGCTAATGAATATAGTTTCATAAAAAATTGAATTTAACAATAAACAAAGGCACGCACTGTCTATCGCAGTTGGCTGAACAAATAGCGAGCGCACCTGGAGCGTTCGAATCGCTGACGAGACTGGCGAACAAGCTGTGGGTGCCGCTTCAATTTGGCTGACAATTTATATACAATAATAATCGCGAATAGCTCTTGCTTATACGCGCTCTTAGCGATAAAGAGAATACGCGAAGCTGCAATTCAAACAACATAACCTTGAGATACTTTCTGACCGGCCTTATCGCGTCGCGTTGTTTGCGAGCCGCTATAAACTCCAAGGGGTGCCACACAACTCTACGCATTTATCTGTTGCAGCGTCAGTTTAGCTGCCGACAACTAAACGAAAAAGAGACAAGAACACATTTAAATAGCGGCGCTTAATATGCAGCAACAATAGTTGAATGAACTTGACGCTGTCAAAATGAGTGAGTACATTAGTGAGCAACAACGCTGTGCGGTACTCTTTTTTATTTTTTTCTTTGAGTGGCTTGACTTATTGGCGTTGCCAGATAGTGAGCATATTTGAGTCAATATCCAGTCACATGCATACATACAAAACACACAAATATCCAAAAATAACTCAACACGAAACGAGAAGCACGCAGCTAGGCAAAAGTTTTATATATGCCCTACAATAAGTCTGGTTAGTTTGCACAGCAGCTTGGACCGCAAATCGTATAACATTGAGTGCAAACGTTTTTATGAAACATTTTTATTTATATATCAGTTACATATAGGCTTAAGTTTAAAATTTAATAGTTAGGCTCTTTATTTGTTTTTAATGAATAGTTGTGTCGTGGCCACACCCACGTTGAGCTGATTTTGTTGCACACAGAAAACAAGAAAACCGGTTCAGCGGCCCAGAACCTACAAAAACAATCTAACGAACACCAACGAAGGGAGAGTTCGCCTACGAAATTTCGACTCATTTTAAAAATATATTGCAGGCTTTCCTCACATACATACATAGCTATTTATGAGTGTGCTCTTCTGTTATATAGAACTGTATTTTATGCTCCGCTCGTACAAAAACAAATACTTTACATATAAATAATGTACATGTGTGTGTAGTATGTAAAGGGGGGCCGGGGCGGTAGGAAGCTCAACAATATATGTTGTTACATTTTTCTGTTTTTTATTGATTTTATTATCGTTTAATTAGTTTTAACATGAGCTTGTCGTAGTATGTTTAATTTTCTGCTTATAAAACTATATATATTTATAAGTATATTTATATTTAAATGAAGAATTAGCTCCAAATGCATCGAAAATGCTGTCAACTCAGCATTTGCAAAGCACTTGAATGCACAAGTACAAAAAATAATAGAGTTGAATATTGTTTATTTTGTAAATTCTATGTGGTATATGTGTAATTAAGCAACATAATTAAATATACCAAATAAAGTTTACAAAACTTGCTTATTGTTAAATTAAGATTGTACGAGGGGGTGGGCTTTTGGGGTTTGCTTTTTCAATCTAAAAAAGAAATCTGAATTCGAACATGTAACGTAAATTAATTGTCATTTTTTTCGATAAACACAAAGGAAATGTTGTGGGCGGGTGAGTTGGGTGGGTTGGGGGAATCTTAGGTAAAGCACAGAAATTATATATTAAACATGTGGAAGAATAGAGACATGAAATTGTTCTGCAAGTTTTACAATTGAATAAATTAGTTGCTTGGCTTCTGTTTTGTTTAGTTTACGTTTTTTTTTTTCTTATTCTTTTTCTTTTACTACTTAGGGTAGCCACAAAAAATAATAACTTAGTTGATAATATACTTCTGTCTGTTTGTTTTGTTTATTTGTTGTTGTTGTTTGTTTTGTTTGTTGTTGTTTGTGTGTGCTTGTCTGGCTGTGTATTATTATATGCTCGGCTGCTATTACATAATCGCGCATTTCTCGCCCGCCTGCTGGGGATCGCCCTGCTGATGGTACAGCTGCTCGTTGCCATCAACGGCGCTAACACTGCGCCGACGGCTGAGACGTGTGGAGGACACATGTGTGGAGACAATGCGCTTGATGCGCTCCAAATTGGCGACCGTTTCACCATCGCCATTCAACAGAGTCGTCTTTGTATTGTCGCCCGTAATCCACTTTTGTTGCTTCATCACGATATTCGATGGTGGCTCGTGCGTTGCCCTCGAGTCGGATGACCAAACGGTCACCGTGGCATTCGGTTCGATTTTAACCGAACGATGGAACTTGTAGGTTGTCGCCGGTCCAGAATCGTTAATTGAACGCTGCAACTGCCAGCCGCCAATGGAGACTTCGTCGTTGCCCTTGTTGTATAGCTTCACAAATTTGCCCTCGGGATCGATCTCTTTGATTTCTATGTTGCCCTTGGCACTGGCAGAAACATAAAAATCGGATACGCTGCGATCCTCTGACTCATCGACAACGGCACGCTTCCGCTTCAGTCCGCCCGATGGGGTGCGACGTGAGGGCGTGGCACGGGTGCTGCGCAACGATTGACTGAACGATTGTACAGTTGCCGAATTGGCGGGCGTTATATTCAGACGCGCCTCCTCGCCCACCAACAGCTTGTCGTAGGCAGCAATTTCCAAGTCCAAAGAGACCTACGAATGGTTACAAACGGATTAAGTTTAGGTTTTAGTGAACGGATCCTCTGTAGTTGTAACCCACCTTGATATCCATCAAATCCTGATACTCCTGCAGCTGATGTGCCATTTCCTCGCGCAAGCGCAGCAGCTCCTTTTCGAGCATTGCAATATCATTGCCATGACGCTCGCGATCAATGTCTAGCTGCTGTTCCAGCTCACGTATGCGGGCATTCAACACCGCATTGGTTGACTCCAGATCATTGATTTTAGCATTGAGTCCATCGATGCGGATGCGTGAATTGCGCAGCTCCTCAATAGACTTGTGCGACGAATTGTGCGTGCGTGAGGCTGCATCCTGCAGCGAACGTATCTTAGCCTCGTACAGGGATTCGATATCTTCGCGATTGCTACGCATCTGCTCTTCGTATTGGCTGCGCAGCTCGTGCAGCGATTGCTGCAGCTTAGCCTCATACTCAGACGATAGACGGCCATCGATTTCGCTGTATTCGGTTTGACGTATGCGACGCGATTCGTTTATCTCCTGGACGTGCACTTGATCCTTCAGGGAGAGCTCCTCGCGCAAACTCTGAATATTGTTCTCGAGATCAACACGCGCAAGTGTCTCCTGTTCGAGATTCTTGCGCGAGTCCTCTAGATTCTTACGCAGACGATCTAGCTCTTTTAGTGCCTCGTTTAAATCATCAACTGCCTTCTTGCGATCGGCATTGGCCTGGGTATATTTATTGCTTAGCTCATTGGCACGCGACTCATAGATGCGGGCATTGGCTGGCGAATTAAAGGCAGGGGTTGATTATTGTGATTAATGGCTATGTTGCTTGTAAACTCACCCTCAGCAGCGCTGCATTCCTTGGTCTTTTTATCCAGACGTGAGGTCAGCTCCTCATTCTCTTCCCACAGGCGCTTGGTATCAATCTCTAGACGTGCACGTTCGCGTGCCAATTCGTCGAGCATGCGACGTGCTTCGAGCAGTTCCGTCTCATAGATATTCTTAATGTTGGTCGTCTCTCTGGTAACGGTGTCACGTGTCGTTTGCACCTCAATGCTGAGACGTGAGTTCTCCGTCTCCAGATTGCGTACACGATCTATATAACAGGCCAGACGATCGTTCAGATTCTGCAGCTCGACCTTCTCGACGAGGCGCGAATGGCGCGTGGGGCTTAACGGGCTGCTCGCCTGTTGCTGCGACTGCGAATGCGACGACGTCGACTGTTGCTGCGGCCCAGATGATGGGGGGCGCGGGGTCGAGGTGCTGCCGGGCTGCGGCGTCGCGGTGCCAGCGCGTCGAGATTTAGACGACATTTTTACAGTCACTTGCTGGTGCCCAAAAAATATACGTAATGGAAAAATTAAAAATTTGTTCACACATAAATATTATGCAAATTAATCTTAACGCAGACTTTAAACTCACCTTATTATGCTTATGCTTTTAGCTCGAGATATTTTTGCGCGCAATCGTTCGCTTTGGCCTGATAAAATTCCAAACAGAAACAGAAATATCAGAAATAAGAAGAAAACAATCACTCAAAATACGAGCGGAACACAAAAAAGAGCGCAATGAAAGCGAAACTAGTTTCTCTGCTGCTACTGCACTCTTTGAGCACAAAACAAGTTTTTCCACTCAAGCGACTGTACTAAAGCGAACGAACGAAAAAAAAAACAATTGAGTGACTTTTGCGGCGTTTTGTTTATGGGCGTGGGGTAAAAATACGCGGGTGCGGCAGCATAACGCTCGTTAAATATATTAAATGCAAACAAATGTATTTGTTGTAAAAATGCTTTTAACTGCTGCACACAAATTTTGTTGCATGGAATTGCACAATATGGCGTTTTTAATTCACAATTTGCCTTTTCACAGCGGCATTTTGATGCAGCTGCAGGGGGGCAAGCGCAATGGCAACTTTGAGAGGGAAACATTAATTAGGAAACTTGCACTTTTTACTACCTCTGCCTACACGTAGTTCATAAAACGACACTTCGAAAATTAAAAGAACTTACGTGGATATTTATATTTATTTGTATGTTGCACAAGTCTAAGGCAAAAAGTTTTATTGCCCTTAGAAAACGCGGCCGACGTGAATCTCCGTTGAGTAGACTGACGCTGACACTATCGATATTTTCGCGTAACTATGGTAACTATCGGTCAATTGCGTATGCAACTCTGCAACTGATGATGATGAAACAGTGGTATCGGTAAATTCGCCTTAACTTGCAAATGCAATACAATTTAAGCCTTCGAAAATATAGTTTTAAATCGTTGTTTTATAATTAATTGACTTTTATAACTTTTTTGACTGATGATGCTTGAATATCGAATATATGACAACTGCGTCTATCGAAAAGGTACTTCGATTACGATAGTTACACTCATTATCGACGTCACGTTCAATCATTGAACTTCAATATCAGCGTAACTTTTTAAACTAGCTGACAAATATTTATTACTCTTAGCAAAATATAAATAAGACAACGTGCAAAAGGTAAGTGCATTTGCCATATCTTAAAAGTTATGAAGTTAAGAACATGCACAAAATGTTTCGCAATATTTTGTAAATCGGCTGTGTGATTCAGTGTAATGAAAAACAAGATGGCGGAGCGCATATGCCGGTTTGGCATATAAAAACGCGGCATTTGCGGCACATACAGACACATGTAACTTACAAGAGCCATTTTTTTCACAGAATTAAAAAACGGTTCTCGCTAAGCATATAACGCACAGAGAAATAAGAAAAAATGGCCGATAATGACGATCTTCTCGATTACGAGGATGAGGAGCAGAACGAGACCACTGCCGTTGAGAACCAGGAGGCACCAAAGAAAGATGTTAAGGGTACTTATGTATCCATACACAGTTCCGGTTTCCGTGACTTTTTGTTAAAGCCCGAAATATTGCGTGCAATCGTTGACTGCGGTTTTGAACATCCATCCGAGGGTATGTAAAATGTACAGTTGTGCCTGTAAGATTTTTTTTAACAATTTGTATGTAAATTTAACACTTGCAGTGCAGCACGAATGCATACCGCAGGCTGTGCTCGGCATGGATATCCTGTGCCAAGCCAAGTCCGGTATGGGCAAAACGGCTGTCTTTGTGCTTGCCACGCTGCAACAGCTGGAGCCATCCGATAATAACACCTGCCACGTCCTGGTCATGTGCCATACACGTGAACTGGCATTCCAAATAAGCAAGGAGTACGAACGTTTCTCCAAGTATATGCCCACAGTAAAGGTATGTACAGTTTAACCTATCCCAATGCTTAGGGTTTGCTTTAATTGCGTTTGTTCTGGTCAGGTGGCTGTATTTTTCGGCGGTCTGGCAATTCAAAAGGACGAGGAGACTCTAAAGAACGGCACACCCCACATTGTTGTTGGCACACCTGGACGTATTTTGGCACTCATACGCAACAAGAAGCTCAACCTGAAGCATTTGAAGCACTTTGTTCTGGACGAATGTGACAAGATGTTAGAGCAGCTGGGTAGGTTTCTTATAATATATTTTCAAAACACAGAAAGTTTATGCCAATATGTATATGATTTTTCTTTGACAGATATGCGTCGGGACGTGCAGGAGATTTTCCGTAGCACACCACATGGCAAACAAGTTATGATGTTTTCCGCCACTTTGAGCAAAGAGATTCGTCCTGTTTGCAAAAAGTTTATGCAAGATGTAAATATCTTCGTCGCACTTCTACTACTACTACTACTACTATTACGACCACTAGCTATAATAATATATTGCGAAAGCACGCACGTCATACAAATCAACCTAAATACTACCAAAAAACAATTGTCACACATTCTGCCTTATACCTGAAATCAGTCAATTTTGTAACTGGTTAAAACGCGTCAATTGTAAATGTTTACGAGCACAGTCATATTAACCAAACTTTGTAAATGGTTAAACGTAGCAATTTCTTGTCTATGATTGCCAAACACCATTTTCTAAATGGTTAACCGCATAAATACAAACCGTGCTGGCGCTATGAGCGCATAACATATATAAAATCCTTGTCCATAACTATCAGAAACCATTTTCCAAATGGTTAAACGCGTGAAATGCAAACGATAACTCGCCAAGTGCGTATAAAATATACCAAAACTTTTGCCTATAAAACTCAAACCATTTTCTAAATGGTTAAACGCGAACTACAAACGTCAAACTACCAAAAATAACAAAGAATAAATTTTAAATCGCAACCAAAAATGCAACCAACAAAAAAATATATATAAATATATATATATATATATATATATAAAAAAATCAACAGGAGTCACACAAACGATACTGAAAATGAGTCTGATACTTCCCACGAAACGCCTGATGTCCACATGGAGCGCTAGCTACCCTGTCGCACAGCCTTTGAGGTGATGATAGACGCTACAGATGCGCAGCAGTGGCGGCAGCAAACAACAACATTAATATACCCGTACATACATACTAGTTGATGATGATGTTGGTTTTTAGCGTGGCCGTATGTAGAATTTGTAGGCGTACCCTAGCTTAAGTTTCCATTTGCATATGTCAAATTTAATTGTTTTTCTCTTAAAATGCAAACAAAACCCATTTCCAATATTTCAATAGCCCATGGAGGTGTACGTCGATGATGAGGCCAAACTGACACTGCACGGCCTGCAGCAGCACTATGTCAATCTTAAGGAGAACGAGAAGAACAAGAAGCTGTTCGAATTGCTCGATGTGCTCGAGTTTAATCAAGTAATATCTTCAGAATTTTGACTTCATAATCTACCTATCTATTTTATATGGTATACTCAACGATATTCTCGCTTTAGGTTGTCATCTTTGTGAAGTCTGTGCAACGTTGTGTGGCCTTGGCGCAGCTGCTGACCGAACAAAACTTTCCGGCCATTGGCATTCATCGCGGCATGAATCAGGATGAGCGTTTGAATCGTTATCAACAATTCAAAGATTTCCAGAAGCGCATCCTGGTTGCCACAAATCTCTTTGGACGCGGCATGGACATTGAGCGTGTGAATATTGTATTTAACTATGACATGCCCGAGGATTCGGATACATATCTGCATCGTGTGGCACGTGCTGGTCGTTTTGGTACCAAAGGCCTGGCCATTACCTTTGTCTCCGACGAGAACGATGCTAAGATACTTAACGAAGTACAGGATCGTTTCGACGTCAACATTAGCGAGCTGCCAGAGGAAATTGATTTGTCCACATACAGTAAGTGCTTAATTAAGTTTTAAATTGTTCGTTGTTATAAGCGTTCATGCCTTATTTTACAGTTGAGGGACGCTAGTCATAGCGCGTGGAACATCAGAACATTTAAGATCAGCATAAGACAGTAATGCAACTATATAACAAAAGATACCAATTTTTATAAAATTTACTTTATAACTAATAAAATACAATCCAAACAACGTGTTAATGTAAAATAATATAAATGCATTTGTTTGGTTGCTTCAGAAATGAATTTTAAATACATGATATGCAGAGACTGACTAATTCATAAGACATTATCTGACATACAGACTCTACTCTTACACGAAAAGGCACATTAAACATGAAACCCTTAAATCGGATTTCATTCAGATACAAGCATCCAACTTTTGGACTAATGGCTTATAGCCTGCAAGGAATTTTGGATACTTAATTTGTGTTGCCGTGAATAGCTCACACTATTATTTAAGCGGGTTGCGATATCTTTAGTTTCCTTCTATAATTGTTTACAAGATCCAAATAGTTTTTAATAAGCTGTTGACAATCGTCGTTAGAGCTCTGTAACTTTAGGCAGGCTTTCATGAGACAGTATATAACAGTTTGTATAACTGTTTTTTGTTTTGTTTTACCGTTGCTCTGATTAGAGACGAGCGATTTTTACACAACCCGATGCACTTAACAAGTACTTAAAAATCGATACCTTTTAAGCCGATGCTAATATTTAATTGATTGTTTTCAGTTGAATTATTAATTGTATACAAATATTATTATTTAATGTGAAGCAACGCGTATTGTTTTTAAGAACCTAATACTTGCTGCTAGACATTATGTAGATCTTCGTTTCAGGCTCCCTGAGTATAAATATTTTCTCCTACCTAATATTCTATTGTGAATGATCAGTAAATATATAATTTGCCAAGGAAATAAACCTTATCATATCCATCAGTTTGAATGTCCAATTTATATATTGGAATTTTGAACGTCCGTTTTAGGACATGCGCAAAACGTCTTGAATTTCCGGCGGTTTCTGTCATGTGTAGGGTTACCTAAGGGCTGGTCCTTGGAGGGGGAGGGAGAGTTGTATAAAAGCGAAAAACAGAAGAAGCAGAGACTTGGCATTAACGACAAGCCATGTGAAAAACAAATTCGCGTTAACAAAATGCTGTTAAAAAAATACGTAAAAACGCGCCGCAAGGTCAAGATACTGCTGCTGGTCACGATTGTGGCCCTGATTGTGATCACCTGCATCATTTTGCTTGGCTCGTCGGGTGCACCAAATAGTGCGACAATTGAGCGTTTGCTGGACGAACGTTTCATTGCGCGCGCCTATCAGCCGCAATCGGAGCAACTGCAGCTGCAGCAGCCGCGGGAGCAGGCGGTTGCCCTGCTGCAGTCGCATCGCGAAAACGGCGTCATTGTGCCGGAAAAGTATGACGAGCAGAAGATCAAGTCGCGCATCATGCAGAACCGCCTGCAGCAGGCGAAGCAGCAACAGCAGAAAGACGCTGAGGCGGAGCAAGCGCGCACCACGGTGGAGGCTCTGGCCACAGCTGTTCACATATTCTATACGGCTCCGGTGCCCTGGTACAAGTCCAAGAAGCCGCCACTGCCACCGCCAGAGCATCCCAATGAGGTTGCGCTGCCGCTGACCACACCAAGGCCGGTTAAGATACTGAACACGGCTTTCTATCCGGCCCTGGGCTTGTATAAGCCCACCGTTAAGCTTCTGAGCCAGCACATGGATAACATACGTAGCTGTGGCATTGGCGTGATTATTTTAAGCTTTGTCCGGCCGTCGGATCCGGCGCTATTGCATCAAATCATTGACCTGGCGCCGCAGCATAATCTGAGCGTCACCTTTGAACTCAGCGTCGCGGGCAATCGTACGCTTGCGTTTGTGCGCCAGCAGCTGCAGGATATTGCCGCGTATGTGGAGCTGCCGGGCTTTTATCGCGTGTGGAGCCAATCGCGTGCCACATTGCTGCCCGTGCTCTATGTGAGCAATGCGTATAAGCTGAGCGAGAGTTTAGGCCGGCATCTGTGCCGACCCACGGTCCAGGAACTGGCGGAGCAGCAGCAGGTGCCTGGAGAGATAGGTGAATTGCGGCGTGTGCTGGATGCCTTCTTCATTGGGCACATCAGGTGGGCTATTCTCACATCTAATCCAATCCAACCAATTCTTTAACCATTCGACAGACTCAAAAGCCATGCGGATGTTCTGCGTCGTTTGTGCTTCGATGGCTTCTACAGCAAATTGCCTAGTAATGGCGCCGTCTTTGCCAGCACCTGGAAGAACTGGTCGTATCTCAAATCATATGCCCTGTCCTACAAAATGCTGTTTGTGCCAACAGTGGGTCCAGGTTTTGCGGAGCGCAATAAGTTTCCACGTCATGGTGATATACAACGACACAGGAGCAATGGGCGCGTAAGTTGAAGCTGTCCTCGACTAGAGCACCCTTAATTACTTTCATACATTTCCCATTTCAATTTGCAGTACTATGGCGTGGCCTGGCGCACAGCCATACTGAACCATGTGGGCTTCATCAACATAGCCAGCTACAATAATTGGCCGGATGGTAGCCAAATCGAGGAGGTTGTGCCACGCGCCGGTTTTCTAGATTACAATCCGGGCTCGAGGACCAAATATCTGGATCTAACCGCCCACTGGGTGGGTAATTTTCTAAAGACGCGCCAAGAGGCTGCCGCGGCGGCAGCGGGTGCGCCCCAGAACTGTTACGAGCTGCTCAATAATACAATTTGTTGAGACGGACGCTTATGCGTGTGCAATTCGTGATCAAGGAAATCACCAAAGAACTCATATCGTCGATTCAATTTGTTGCCTTACCCATGGAGGAGGAGCAGTCAGTCGTAGCTTCCATTTGATGCACGTGCAAAATGTGCGTGTTTACTTTAAAAGCAATCAATTGCAATTGCCGGAAAAAATTACTTTCTTACTGTTAACAAGTCTTCTACTACAAAAAAAAAACAACTAAAAAATGCCTATATAGCAACTATTACAATTATCTATGTATCTGCCAAAAATTATAGAAAAAGTCTATTTAAAGTGCAAGCAATATATATTTAGGTAAACATATGTAACTAGGGCCTGATCATAAAACAGCGCCAAATTATTTTACAATTTTTAGCTTTTGATTAGTATTATTAACAAAAACAACAACAACAATATCATAACATAAAGCCATGCCATATTATATACATATATACATTTATATATAGAAAATGTAGCGATAACTAAATATTTGTTAAACATAAAAATTTATTAACACTTGTTAAACGAAGGTACTTACCAAATTTTATCTTTATTACAAGTACAATTTAAAAATAATATATATATAAATATATATTTAACTATGTAATTAGTTTGACTAAGCTTTAATAGATTAACTAGTGCGAAACTAATATATAATACAAACATTTATTATCATAATGCAAAACAAACAATTTTCATGAGCTTAATTAGGGCGCCGCGTGTAAACGAGCATTTTACAACACTTGCGTGCTCCCGCCATGAGTACACGCACACATGAGCATAGGCAACGGTAATGTTTTATGCCGTTATACGCAGTTTGATGTTATTTTCTCCAGTTTCCAATTTCCGTTTGTAAATGCCACAGAAGGTGTATAGCAAATGTTTGCATATTATCAATTGGCAAGAAATATCAGCGTGTAAATGCTTGATTGGTTAGATAAGCCCAAGGAAATATAAGTGTTTGTTTTATGTGTGCTTGTGTTAATGTGCCCAAGTGAATATAGGTGACTCCATCTTTAGAGGAGAAGGAGGACTATAAACCTTCATGGAAAATTCAAAGAATCTAGCTTTCAATCTATAAAAGGTATACGCTGATGCAATATACCAGGCTACAGGTGAGTGTTTATCATAGCTCTATATAACGCGGGTATATACATACATATCTATGAACATATACATATGTACATACATACATATATACATACATATATTCTAAAGCGTCGGCCCGAAAAGTGTTTGCACAAATCCAATATACTCCTTTTTACCTTGAAAAGAAGCAGAGTAGCATAATAATAAATGACAGCAGCTGTCAGGCGTATAGCAGAAAATATTTGAAAAAAAAAAAAATAGAATGTCCCAGGTAAGGTCGGGTAATTACTTTAACAAAGAGCAATCAAAGCGACAGCCCAAGCAACAGGCGCCCAAAGGCTGCTGCTGCAAGCGTTCGCAATGCATTAAAAATTACTGCGATTGCTATCAATCCATGGCCATCTGTTCGATTTACTGCAAATGCATTGGTAAGTCCCAATGGCAGCTTAAGCATATGGCTACACATTCCGCAATCTACATATCTACAGGCTGCCGCAACACCGAAGAGCGGCTGGCTGTGGCGACGCCGCCAAAGAAAACGGCGCTCGCCGCCAAGCGTGAACGCGCCGCTGCGCTGAGTGCCAAGGCAGCGGCTGCAGCGGCCAAGGCTGGCATCAATATTCATCTCAAGCCCGCGCCCGGATCAGCGGCATTTGCCGGTCAGCAATTTGGTGCGGCCGCACAGCCAGTAGCTCCAACGCCACAAATTCTACAGCTGCCCGATTTGGATCTGGAGAATATAATCACATTGCCGCCACCGAATGCCGCTATTGCGGTTAAGAAGCCGCAGCCAGCACAGCTCTTCGCCAGCCAGCCATCAACGCCGCCCAAGGAGGTGAATGTGTGCAAACAGCCCGTGAATGTAGCGTTGCTCGAGTGCATCCTGGTGCAGGCTGCCGAGGCCGAGGAGCTGGGCCTGAACGAAGTGCAGGTGGGCAAAGTAATATTGCACGAATTCGCACGGGGCTTGCAGGCCATTATAAAAGTCTATAATACATGAATTGCATTCAATTTATTTAACAAAATAATGCAAAAAAAAACATAATAACTTCAGCATAAATTCGCCATTCAAATATAATTTTATAACTAAATAATTAAGCTAGTTGTCATAACACAATACAAATACATATAAATGTATATAAATCATTTCAACCATGCATATATATCTATGCACCATGTAAAAATACAATCTGTACAAAAAGTAGTCTAGTTAGGTTTCTTGAGAAGCTTAGGAATAGAATATGTACATGAGGTTTTTATAAGTATCAGGTCTCTCCATGCGGTCCATGCAAAAATACATTATATACATTAGGTTTTTATAGGTGTTTGGATCTCTCTATCCCTCTACCATTCATGCGGCTGGAAGATTAGCTCCGTAGCCAGCAAATCGTAGTTTCTTTTGCGCTGTCCACCCTCTGGTGTTGTGGTTACGTGCTTGTGCCGCTGCAACGGCAGTTCATTGTCCGTATCGCTACTGCTGTCCGCCGATTCTTCGCCAGCAGCATCGTCACCCTCTTCGTTGATACGACGTCGCTTGGATTTGGGTCCCGATTTGGTTTTATATTTTTGCCAGAATTGCGCCGGCTGCGCAAAGTCCGTCAAGTTGGGAAAACGCATAGCCATGGCACGGCAAAATTTATGAAACTCCCGATGCAGTTCCTGGTTCATGTAATTGCGCAAATGCCGATGCGTTTCCTCCACATAGCGCAGACAGCGTTCCAGTTGCTTTAGCTGTTGGGAATATATATATATTCAATTTTATGGACGAGGTTTAGACTGAAGACAATTACCGGTTCCTCAGCCATTTCACGTTTACGTGCGCTGCCGCGTCCACGACCCTTGCTTGTTGCTGCACTCTCGTTTGCTGGCTGCTGCTCCGCCGAAGGTGTTGCTGGTGCTGGCGGCTCTTCCTCCGCCGTCACAGCATCATCGTCATTATCGCCCCCGTTCTGCTGACGTTTGTTCTTGGTACAAAAGCATATGCGACGCATTACAAAAAGTATGTCCATGACAACGTCCAAGGCGCCGGGTAATTTAATAAATGCCGCGTCCTTTGTTTTCTCTGTAAGATTATCAAATTTAATTTATTGAAGTTTTATTGAAGTTTTATTGAGCTGATTTAGCTTACCAGCTAGCAGCTTTAGCTGTCCAAAGTACAACAGCAGCGTAGTTTCATCTAGCGCGGCGAGTATGTGATTATATAGCAGACGTCGATTTTTTTTATGCGCTGCTCCCTTTAACGGCGACTTGAAGCCGGGCTCCATGCGAGCTGAGCCGATTAGAAACGGCTGGTCGTTCAAATCAAAAGGAATCTCCTTGAGACAATGATGAAACAAGGACTTGTCGTACAATTTTTTGTAACGCATAAAAAAGGCATCCGCTTCTCGCGCAACCTCGGCGCTGTCATCTACCAGGCCCGCCAGCAGAGAGACTAAAATAGCGCCCTTCAATTTAATATTGCCTGCCAGGATGACATCCTTGACACACCGATAGGTGCGCACACGTGTTGTGGCATATTTCGAGAACAGCTTGACCAGAATACATTTCATATTGCTTTCCAGTATTGTGGGATATTTCTTGCCCAAATCATTGAGACCAATCAGTGTGCTATTTATCAATTGTGGCCTATCATTGCGGCTTAGTATCTGTCCATACATTTTGGAAACTCTGTGTGCCAGATTATTGTCTCGCAAAGAGAGCCGACCCGCAATTACAACCATCCAGTTCATAATGCGCTCGTTTTCCGTATCGAAACTTGCCTCATTCAGGCCAATGCATAATTTCACATAGCCAAGCACAAAGTTAACAATTCTCTCATCCGCACGCTGCGGCAACATGACAATCAGCTCCGAGTATGTGGCCAGAAGTGAAGCTAAACGTATGTGATCCGCTTCAAAGTTCTCCATGCACAGCTTTGTGGCATTTGTGACATCCTCGAGCAGCTGCTGTTGCCAATTTTCGACACTGACGCTGTCCGCAGGCGCCTGACTATGTGACAGTTGATCTATGTGATGCAATAGGAGTATCGCAGGCGAGATAAGGGCCAGCCAAATGCTGCCCGTGCTCAGAGCCGAGAGCAAACGTATAAAGAGCTGATTGAGTGATGCCTTGGAAAAGTTGGACAGACAGTAGCAGATCAATTGAAGTGCTAGCACCTGATTGGACTTCATATTGTACGATGACAGGCAATCGAATGTTGGAATAATTGAGTCTAAATTATTTGTGATGCGACTGGATATTAAGAGTAGCAGTGTCCACGCCTCCGTTGCCATTGGTGTGTTCAAGTGCGATATTATGGTATTCACTAGCCTGGGACTGTAAACAAAGTGGCATGAGTGGATTTTATTTATGTTTCATTCAAGTTGGAGCTACTCACGTCACAACATTCTCGTTCTGCAGCAAAAGGGTGAGCCTTTGCTGCAAATAATCCCGCGGCTGCGAAGCCAACAATGTGGTCAGTATGTGCCAGGGCAACAGATGCTTGGGTTCATTGGAAAACTCCAGAGGTTTGATGTTCATTAACACATTGCGATTGAAGCTCTGCAAATGAGATGTTATTTAAGATATGTTAAGATTAGTTAAGAATTTACAACTACGAAATACCATGTACCCAGGTTAGATATAGACAAAACCCAGAGCTGTGGCTGTCATTCTTCTTCATTCAGCCGAAATTTTGCAAAATGCATTTTCAAATACCTTCGGTGTTTATGGTCCGATAGTTTTAAAATTTTCAGAGCTTAAGGAAGACAATCTAATATCTGTATATACCAAGTATAATGTCTTAATAATGCGTATTTGTTTCCAATTGTATGACTTTGTGATATGAAGGACTACACAGCATATTTTGGGTCTCTGGTACTTGAAATCTTCGATTAAAAAACAGATTTATAGACTAGATTTTAATAAACTTAATATGCGTATTGTTTAAAAGTAACACCATAAATTTAAAATCTCCAGCCCAGATGAACATAGCTAGATCGCTTCCGATGTAACTCCTGATCAAGAACATAGCTAAAAACAAATAATAAAGGTCCATGCTCTCATTACTCACATGCAATGCCAATTTCTGGAGTACAGTATCCTCATCGTTGAGCATGCATGACCATATGCGGCAATAGACATCTATGAGTATGGTGCAATTATTATAGCTTTGCAGGAGCGAGTCGATCGTGTCCAGCGCTGTTTTGCGCACCGATGAAAGGGCATCAGTGGCTAGCACCGACATTTCGCGCTCGAAATGTGTGTTGTAGATAATACGCTGATTGATTTGCACCAGACGCTCCAGCAGGGCTAGGCCCGAGCAGCGGGCCAGTCCATTGTTGGCGGCAATAAAACGTTCATAGATCACTTTTGGCATTTTCTTAACCTCCGGTTCCAGTTCCTCAAAGCCCTCGAAGCTGTAGGCGTACTGCAGGTCACCCGGCTTTTCCAGAGACAGCTCAATTTGTCGTGCATTTGGTTTTTGAGGCGTCTTCACATCATCGTATTGCACAAAGCTGATGAGCTCGTGGAGGATGCGGGTGGTGATCGGCGAGCCCTGCTTAATAGACACACTTAGCACCTGGCTGGCCTTACGGCGCACGCTAGAGGTCTTGTCATCAAGGCAACGGATTGTCTCCGTTATAAGCGAAACTTCTCGTGGCTCGGTAGACACATCGTAGCGAAAGATTTGCCACTCCACCTGCGTCTGATGCTGCAAAATACGTTCCACAAGCTCGAGCGTACGTAACTGCAGGCCCACAGCATCTTCTGCTCTGATGGTTTCCAGTAACATCTCCGTACAGGATTTGTTACATTTGGCATAGAGAGCTGCATCATATTTGGCCGCATAGCCAATGGCAATTTTCTCATCTCCGATTTTCCACTATAAGAAAATAACAAAATTATTGACTATGTTTTTGATATAATGCTGCATATTCATTTGACTCACCTCCCTAATGGGATTAGTAATTACGCACTCAACGTATAACGCTAATACGCCCGATATTATACCTGGATACTTGTCCAAAAGCTTGATAAACCAATCTGAAATATGTTCGCCACTTTTTGGGCCCGAACTTTTTGAATTTTCCGGATATATATGCATGGAAAATGTTTGACTCATTATATGCATCAATGTCTCGTGTACATCCCCATTTTGTTCGTTGGTAATCTCATCAAGCAACTCGAAGCATTTTAAATGCAATTGGTGTGCACCTGTAAATATACAAATAAATAATTTAAAATTTTAACCGATAAAATTTGGCTAATAACAATCGATAACACAACACGTTATCGCACATTATAACCAGTGCATGCTAGAGATGAGCTAATATGCATGTAGACTTTTTGTAGACTTTTTAGCTTCTTAGCTGCGTTTCATTTTCTGTCACCTTTTAAGTTTTGTTTTAAATATTCAATGAAAATTATGTAGAGCAAAATTTAAACTTGAATTTTCTTAGTAAATGCAATTATTGGGACATCGTATTTAACTGCGTTTGCCATCGTTTTCAGTAAATGTTAACCAAAAATAAGGCTTTGGCATACACATAATTACAATATATATGACATTGATGCCTTTTAAGCCAGGAGCTTCAGAATTGTATTTGTGCGTTTCCTAAAGATTAGTTAATATAGCCTGTTACAATCATTAATTTATATCCTATAATGGTTTTAGTTAAGTATTTTGTCATAGCAGATACATTTTTTAAGTAATATTAAAACGCGGCAACCAAGCATAAATTCATGCGATTAAAAAGAAAGTACGGGCTTCTTTCCTCCAGAACTAGCTATTTCTGCTACTGCAGCACTGCCAGATACAAATATCGATTGTCATAAAACGAAATCGATATGCCAGTCACAGTGATTCGATCACATATGCACCGTACATTGTCCATCTCTAGCAGTGCCCTTACGAACGACAATAACGAATTCGACTTGTGAAATATAAATATAATTTTGCAGCACGATGTTGGTTTTGTTGCACAAAAATGCCGGCGCTGCAGTGGGCAACCAGGTGCGCAACATTGCCAAACGTTTGTTGACGACAACAGCAGCAGGCTCAACAACAACAACAACGACAAAAACTGCGCCGGCAACGGAACACTATGAT